CGTCGCGGCGCGACGCGCCGAGCCGTTCGGCGTCTAAGCCAAGGTTGCGTGGCGGGCGACCATCGCGCAACGTTGATCGCGGCCGCGGAACAGCTGGGCGGGCGCCCCCCACCCCGGTTCCCATGCTTGGGCGAAAGGAAGGGGGCGCCGCGCGACGCGCGGCGGCGCGGGGCGACGCGAACCCAAGCGATGGGCGCCAGGCGTCGCGCAGTCCGCCCTGCTTGCGTGGGCGAGCGCGCGAGGGGGCGCGCGTGCCGCCCAGGGTTGGGGCCGGCGCCGCGCGCGCTCGGCTGGGGGGGGGTCCCGCCACGTTCGGCGAGGGGCACCTGCGGTGCGGCTTTTGCTTGCCCACCGCTCCCTTGGCGGCCATTCGGCTTGGGGCGTTCGCACAGGGCGCTCGGCTAGGCTGGCGACGCAGGCGAGTGCCCGAGCAACCGTCGGCTCGGGGCACCGCTTCGCGCGGCCAGGGTCGAGCGCCGCACCCATCGCCGCGGTGCGATGCGCCGAGCCGTTCGGCGTCAGCGCCAAGGTTTTGTGGTCGGTTCCCCACGCAGTGCTTACACTTAGGGTGTTTCACTTAGCTTGTCTACGTACTTGGACGGGTTCGCCCGGGATTCTCTGCGTTCCCGCCCCTTGGCGCTTCGAGGCGCACGGTGCCTTGGGCGGGTCCGCCGAGGTTTCGCCTGGCACCCGTCCGCGGGCGCCTCGCGGGCGCTCGTGGGCGCGCGGTGTCGCCCGGCACCTGCCCGCGGGCGCCTCGCGGGCGCTCGCGGGCGCCCCGTGCCCTGGGTGGGTCCGCCGAAATTTCGCTTAACTGCCCGTGGGCGCCTCGCGCGCTCTCGTGCGTGATCCGCGCCCCTGGGCGGGTCCGCCGAGGTTTCGCCTCGCGCCTGCCCGCGGGCGTCTCGCGGGCGCCCCGAGCCCTGGATGGGTAGCATAGCTTACACCAGTTGGCTCCCGCCGCGTAAGTCACACCGCGTAGCTCACATAACATATATCACGCTTCATGATGGTATCCCATGGATTACACAGCACAGCTCACAGAACAAGTTTTCACAGCATAGCGCACACTGCATGCTTACACAGCAGAGCTGACACCACACACCTTTTCCGAACAATATAGGAATAGATTCGACGACCCTCTCTCCCGAGGTTGTCCCGGACCCCCTGGCCCACAACAGATTACTTATGATTCTGCCCCATCGCGCATTTTCCATATGAATGAACTCCAGGGTCGGCCGAGAATTACCATCTGTTTCCTCGTCAAATACTACTAATCGCGCACACTCGCAAACTGCAGAGGAAAATGTTGCAATAATCTTTTACATATACAACAAACCTACACAATCCCAGCAGGTTTTCCAGTAAAAGTTTAGTTTCTGCCCGTGCGCACGTGCTGACATCATTTTGATATTAGCGAACCCGTCCCAAACCCGCATTCTCATCTCACCACGTGGTGCATCCGCGTTGATCCAGCATGCGCCCCGTGTGCGAATCCGTGTCCAAAAAACCACTATCGGGCCACGCGCGCGCCGCCACGGAAGCGTGTCGGACTATGTCCTACATCACTCGTTGTTCGAAGCATGTCAACATAGAGCTTTTTCAACAACGCATGAACAACCACTTGTGCTTCGGCACAATTTTTGCCAGTGATCTTCGATTTCCGCGCGCGCAGTGCTTCGCCATCACCCTCATCAGCGCCGCCACCTGACGTCATCGTCATCGACAGTCGCCGCCATTGCCACCATCATCATCCAAGCATCAACATCATCGACAGACTGACATGATTATCATCGTCACCATCAGCATCATCAATATCATCGTCATCGCCATCGGCGTTACCAGCATTAGCGCCGCCATTGGCCCCGCCGTGGTCATCGTCATCATCGCCACCACCATCACTACTATTATCATTGTTGCCGCCGTTGCCGACGTCATCGTGGTACCGCGCCCGCCTGAGCCACCGACCCGCACTGAAGTGCCCGCACGCCAGCGCGGCCTTTGAGACGCGCTGGGAAATGGCCACCAGAAACCAGCTGGCCGCTCTGCACACGAGCTTGCGAGCGCCAGCGCGGCCGCAGAGATGACCCAGCCTTGGCCAAGCAGTCATCGCAATCGCCGCCGCATGGGCTTTGCAAAACAAGCTGCGGGTGGGAGGCGGGGGGGTGGGATGATTGCGCGAGCAGTGGAGTTGGCAATTCATGAATTAGCAAAATTCCTTTACCCTAAATAGCCGTTTGTTCAACAGTTCAAGGACTCGTTGTTTGGGGTTCACTACCACAATGCAATAGCTCGCTGTTTGCACCACTAATGTTGCGACAATTGTGTGTCAGCTCTCTGGTGTCCAAGTTGCCCTTCGCTTGGCACCTTGGAGGCCTCGTGGCACTTTCGGGTACTCCAGATTTCGTAATAAAAGCGAGGGGGTCTGGACCCTCCAAGACAAGCCATTTCAGACCTCCCCCGTGGGAGAACCCTCCAAAACATCGTCCCCAGACCCCCCAGGCCCTCCAAGATAGCCTGGAAGAGACCCCCCCCCGAAATGAGACCCCCATCCCTTTATTACGAAATCTGGAGTACCTCCAGGGCCCGGAAATTTCCATGCAGGATACCTTGGAGACCCCTACCCTCGGCCCACGGGGCACGAGTCGAGACGGCCCGTCCGTTGCCGGCTTCGGCTGGCGGGAGGCCTGCTTCGGACCTCGGGGCTGTCGAACCACATCCTCGGCATGCGAGGCAGCCCCCCGGGGCGGAGCGGGGAGCTCCAGCAAGCTGGCGACAGGGGCGGACGTGTCGACTCACCGGAAGTCTCGGGAGGGGGGAACGCCCAGGGGCATGGTGCAGAGCCAGGTTCGGTGCGGCAGCCAGCTTGGTGGCTAGTTTGCTCGGCTCTGGCCCGAGAGGGAGGAATTGTGGATGGCTGGCTCTCCACGCTCCCCTTCTGTGGGTGGTTCGGTAGGGAGCCTTTGGCTCACCCCCGTGCGCGATCAATTTGCCCGCCAGCGGGGGATCAAGGTTGCACTTGTCTGCGAGCAATTGCGAACCCAACCCCTGCGGGTCCAATCTGCCCTGGGGTTCACTTGGCCGCAGACATTGTTCGAATTTTGAACCCTCGCCGCTTCTGCAGAAATATGACCCGCAGGGCTAGGGTCCACGTGTGGTTGGCTGACTGGAAGCAGAGCGCCATGATCGGATGAAGGGTTTGTTGCCCACTCCTGGTGCACCCCGAATGTTGGACCAAGGCTCTCGGGGTCTCCTGGGCCATAGACTTGTGGAGGACGCTCAATGGGGAGGAAGCATGTTGCCAAGTAGTTTCCAGATGTCTAAAACATATGCTAATACTGATTTAAACAATATTACAAGCATGTTTACAACAATTTCGAGGACATCTTTCCGACTTTAAACATAATTTCAGCTCGATGATAGAAGACTGTCAGGGTGTCCATCGTCGCGGCATCCACAACCATAGACTAATTCCCCGCCGCTTCCGGCTTGGCTCGGCTCGCTCCGACTCCGACCGGCTCTGTCCATGCTAGGGGGCCACATGCGAACCCTACCCCTACCCCCCACGATTTCTGAGGGGGAGGGTGGGGTTCACTTCGCTCGGGAGCTTCCGAGCGAAGTGAACCCCACCCTCCCCCCCAGAAATCGTGGGGGGTAGGGGCAGGGCTCGCATGTGGCCCCCCAGCATGCCCGCTCGCTCGTTTCGATTCCTTCGATTCGATTCGATTTCGATGGTTTCCGATTCCGATTCGATTCGATCTGGGATTCCGATTTGAGTTCCGATTTCTTATTGGAGGCATACTAGCCTGCCGATTTCTGCCGATCCGACTTTTCCCGACTCAGCTGCCGATTTCCGACGATCCGATTCATGTCGATCGCCGATCCGACTTGTCGATCCGATCCTGGGCTCTCCTGAGCGGCTCGGCCCGGGAGCCAGACCTCTGCGCCTCGGCTCGGCTCGCGGCCAGCACGCGGGGCCCCCCGCAGGGGCGCGGAGGTCGCCGCCGCTTGGCGGCATGGGCCCTGCAACGGCATTCTCCCACGGGAGGAGGAGGAGGAGGAGGAGGAGGAGGAGGAGGAGGAGGAGGAGGAGGAGGAGGAGGAGGAGGTGGCGCGAGAGCGCGAGGGCGCGGAGATCACGGACCGCGCGGCGCGCGGCGCGAAATCTCGGGTGACCTAGATTGCGGGGACTTGCACGGGGGTGGGGGGGGGAGGGGGCCCTTGGCGGAGCCCCGGGTGACGGTGGGGAGGCAGGGGGGGAGGGCGCGGGGCGCTGGCGGAGCCCCAGACGGAAACGGGGGCGGGCTGGGGGGAGGGGAGGCGGGGGGAAGGTCCTCAGATTCGAGCGCCGTGGACAAACACACACACACACACACACACACACACACACACACA